TTTCACCCAGGTCCAAACTAGACAACAGGATCCCTTCTCTTATGAAATAGAATCTTTAAGAAAAAACTAAATTCTCTGCTTGCTTGTAAACACCCATTTGCTTCAGTAGGAATACCCTCCGCTGCTATTTCATTGCATGAGTCGTACCCAAGCCTTCAGTAGGCTCAGTAAACCTCTGCTGACTTGTATTATTTGAAACTGGGTGTGTGTGTGTGTGTGTGTGTGTGTGTGTGTGTGCATGAATGGAACATGTATTATTTCTTTAATAACACAGAAATAATTTAAATTATCCTTGATTCTCCTTTTACCTAATCTACTTGATTTCATTTTCTCAGTCTGTTTCCCTGCCATTCTGGCATGGTCTCAGAGACCCATGAATTATTTTGTCTTCAGGGAGGAATCAGTCTGCCATTGGTAAGAAATACCCACTATCCTTTGAATTTATGTGTTTAAGCCCACACATACATGCTTTGTAGCTCAGGCTGATAAACAATGGAAATTTAACGTACACTAAAATGAGGAATTTTGAAAGCCATGAAAAATAGAATTATGTGTTGAAATTAAAGGGCTTTTCAGATCAAGCTTGAGGCACTAAGAGGGAAGTTTAGCTATAGTTTTGAACAGCTTATAGGATGTGGTAAAGCATTTTATATTTTTAGAAGGAAATGTGCATAACAGCATATCTGGTTTCTGAGAGAGTTTGAGATTTTCCAGGAGTGAAATATCTTAAGTGCAATTAAAGCTGAGAGATGGACAGCTATACTGGAGACCACAGTAAATGCTATTTTGAGGCACCAGTCGATGTCAAAGAGTTTATAAGCATCACTTGTCAGAAATAATGATAAGGAAACATCTAAATTGCTATGGGAAACTCCCAGTACTCTTCAAATTTCATCTCATTCCAATTTCTCAACCTGGATCTGGTTCAAGACTTCAAAGCTCCTGTGTCAAAGGAAATGAGCTGGGACCTGACACAGATAGCAAGATCTAGAGCCAGCCTTCTGAAGCACTGAGCTCCCATGAATCCATGTGAAATCAGCTTCCACAGAGCCAGCCCCCGCCCCAGTCATCTTCTCCTCCTGCTCACTTTTTTAGTGGGAGTTTAGGAGTCAAAGCTTTGGATTCTCTCCTTGTTTTTACCCTCATATTCTTGCTTATTGATTTACTCAGAACAGGTCAAATCCCATGTCATCTACGTCAGCCCACTTAAAATTTCCTTTGCAGGTTGGACAAAACTGAGCTTCCAGTCTATAGGCAAGAGCAAGCTGGAAGAAAGGACAGAGCTGGGACACCCCTAGAAGGCAGAGCCCAGGGGAGCAGAGCCTGGTGTTCCTGACGCTGCCAGGGCATGGACCAACAACTTTGCCTTTGCTTTCACTGTGTTAGCTGCTACCTCCCCACAGTCCCATATCCTTTCTCAGCAGCAGGAACAGCCAGTCTGCTTCCAGCCTTGGAAGGGTAGAAAGCAAGCAATAGGGCCCTGACTAGTTTTGCAAGGCCAAGCACCTGGCTGCCCTGGAAATTTCATTGTTTTATTTGTGCTTAATCTGGTTCTCTTTGGACACAAGAAGTGGATGAAGTACAGAACTTGGCCTTTATTGCCCCAGTTACTCAGCTGTGGATCAGCGTTACCTAGTGTAAGTTTTCAGCCCATTTCCTGTGCCACAACAACCCAGCCAGGACCAAGTTGTTCCTAACATCTCAGATCAAACACCAAAAATCACTAGTTAGGAACAATGAAAACCTGTACTTTTTTTTGGTTTGTTTTGTTCCTTGGATATTTCAATAAGAATCCTAGAAAAGGCCTCCCACTGCCACGTAAGCCAGATTGATGTGTACCTCAAAAGCTTTCTCAGGAAGGCAGCACTAGACAGCCATTGCAGTGGGGCTATTTTCATCCTTTGCCTTTCTCTTATTCTCTTTTTTTTTTTCTTTTTTTTTTCCTTTTTTTTTTTTAATATTCCTTTTTTCTGGAGTAACTATTTAGCAAATTTCTTTGCATAATTCTTTGCAAAAAGACTTCAATTTTCGTTTGCTTGCACCAGCGATGGAAAACAGCAAGCAGATGGATGGCAGGGACTGCAGTCGCCTGGCGATCATTGCGTGAACCACCAGAGGTCAGGCTGAAACTCCTGATGGTTTGTCACGCTGAGCAGTTTAACTCGGATGCACTTCTGTCATTGCCACACAAAGTGCAAGGGCTGACAGGACATTGACTACATTCCTTTTGTTGCTGTGAGACTGCAGTCTTCGAGAGTATCTTCTAGCTCTTAGTGTTATACACACGGTTAAACACAATGGTTTTGTCTCACGCTTTTGGGGAGCTGGTGGGAGTGTCATGAGTGGTTTGAAGGCTTTCCTGATAATTAGCCTGGAGTTACCCTTTTTTTTTTTTTTTTCATCCCATCACTCATGTCCTACTTCTCTTGTGACATCTCAGGTATGAGCATACCAAATAGTATATTTTTGAAGGGGAAGAATATGGCTTGCACAGAGTAACTTGGACAAGTTACATGTGGCTTACATGTTGACAAGGTGGCCTATTTTCACAACACTAATGACCCTTCTTAAACGGGATTTTCAGGGTGAGCATATGGAGAGGTTGAGAGTTTGCTTCTGTAGCAACTGTGAATGCCTAGATGATGAAGTGAGAAATGCAGCCCCCAATAGTGCAAGCAATAAAGGGTTACAAATTCTGACCCTCTTCCAACAAGTTCACTTCTCCCTCAGCTTTCTACTCTCCTCTGGGCTAAGTGGTGGAAATGGCAGTATTGCTGTTGCAAAGAACCAGGGACCATCCCACTTGTAGCACACAGACTGGATCTAGCCTACAGGAAAATTTGTACCTTGCGCTGGGGTAGATGAGGTGGAACAGTGCAGGAAGTCTTAACAGCTATTGAATACCTTTTAGTTCCTTTGACTTCTGGTTGCTTTGGACCATTAGACACTTCCATGTTGTCATGGAAGCAGGAAGTTACCACTACAGGAATCTGGCCTGTGGTGGTAGAAAAGCTGGTCAGTATACCAAGTGACCTCAGCACCTCTGTCTAGTGGGAGCACCACCATGTTTTACCATAGCAGGGATGGTGAGCAGAGGGAGGTGAGGGGCTGAAACTTGTGCCAGGTGGGCCAAAACCCATTTTTGTGAGAACAGTGGGCAAAGGGACACAACAGATGTAGCACAGGAAATAAAACCTACAGCAGCAAAGGTTAGAGGCTTGTCCACTATTGAGGTTAGAGTTTAAACAGCAAAATGCTGCCTGTGGCTGTGGTCGTAAGCTTGGATCATGTGCTCAGAGTTCATAGACATAAGATGGATAGAGGAAAACTGGCAGCAGGACAGACTTTTTTCTGCCATATTAGGTCAGCATATTTCATACTTGACTACAAGGGGTGCCTGAGGAGTAATAGGATAGTTCATACAGTCAGCCTGCTTGGTCTTTAGTTGCCCAGATGACTGGTAGTTAAAACAACTAGTGCCATTGAGAGCTGTTTGTAAGGGTCCTGGATGAGCTCAGCTCTGGTAGGAACTGAAATTAATCTATAAAGTTACATCACATAGTCTGCAAATGGATGACCTGCAGTGGATGAGAGACAGTAATTTGGAGGTGGTTAATTTGATAGTCCTTCTACCAGTCATGGATCTTGGGCATAGTAATCTAAAGTAGTAGTGTGGGCTACGTCAATACGTTGATTGTCTCATTTTGTGACTTGGTGTCAGCCAGGAGGCAGTAGGACTGCTAATGACTGAATTCTGACTTTCTCAGTACCACACTTGCAAAGAACCATGATACCTAACCTTCAGATGCTCCCTGTACAAGCTAGACCACAGAAACCAGTTGGAGTCCCATCTACTCTGTGTTGTCATGAGACCACCTCATTAGCCTTGTGACCTGTTAAACACAATCCTGTCAAACTTTGTTCTCCAGCCTGCCATTATTTAGATACTAACTAAACCAACTCCCACTAGCTCCCTTGGGGATCATTAAATCTCTCTGCATTTATGCTGTGGCAGCAAAAGTTTAAGCTTGGATTGTAATCATGAAGAAATTAACTTGCTGATTAAAAATAGTCCTTTAAGCAACATGCATTTGAATAATCCATCATAAAAACAAATGAGTCTATAGCAGTGCTCTTGACTTGATAATCTTTTTTCTGCTTTAAATTTACATCAGTTGCACTTTTTTTCCTCTCAATCTGTAGCCCATAGAAAAATACAACGAATTACTAAAAAGAAAGCAATGGTTTGAACTACAATAGCCATGGTGTGGAATATATATTTTAGATCTGTTACTACAAGATAGATTTGTATGTCATGGACCTTATTTTTTTGCTAAGATACCCTCCAGGCAATTCCAGCAACATTAACTGTGTTACAGAAAGGGTAAGTTAATGCAGAAAATTTGGTTTCTCGTATTTGCAAAGTGTTTTGAAGATAAAAGACCTGTATATGCCAGGGCTGATCCAGTTCTTATTGAAATCTGTAGCTAAGGTCCTGTTTAATTCAACAAGAACTATTGGATCAGTCTAACAAGTGCAGGAGAAATGCGTTTGCAAGTAAACATTTAGAAATAAAGACGGTTCTGTCATTTTAAATACTGCATACCTCTCCGTATCTGTAAGTGCAAAGCAGACCATTAGCAGTTCACAATAGGCGCCTACTTTTAGATGAATTCCTCAGTTTGTAGCTGTACTGGTTGTGTGATGAACACAAAAAGTTAAGAGAAGATTTATGTGGCTGGAGAAAGATGCAAAAAGGCACCTCTAACTTATATGAAAATATGTGACACTGTTCCTGAAACTGAAGAAAAGCAAATTTAAATATCCTTGCTTCATCATTTTCCCCCATTACAATTCTACTTTCCTAGATGTCTGTACAGTCCATAATAATTCACATCTTTCGTGCCCAGCCCATGCCACAAGCCCTCCATGTCTCTATTTTTAAAAAATCAGCCTTTAGCAGTACTGGTCTCAGCATTAGCAACCTGATAATTCCTCACCTTTTGGTCCAGGTAAAATTGTGTGTGTTGAGCAGACATCTGTTGTAGGTCGATTGTCAACATCAAAACCAAAAATCTGAACTTGGAAGACAAAAAGCACTACAAGGGTCCCATATTTTCTTAGCTGTTGCTCTTTCTTGCTGCTCATCCTTGCAGCTTCTCAGGAAATGCCTTTCGTTGTTACTGTCTTAAGAAATGCAGCTGACTCAAAAATAAATGCTTCACTAACTGGAGCAGTGGAAAGATTGGGAGCTACATGCAAGAACAGCTAAATAAAGTGAAGAGAAGAGTTTGACGATGTTGTAGTTATTTCTGTCCTGTACATTATCCAGGATATTTATTTAACACTGACAGCTGTTTATTCCAATTTATCTCTTATCTGTGAGACATTTAGCTGCATTTACTGTGGAAAATTTCTTCAAAACATGGGAATATCTCTTTTGTAATTTTTTTTCCTTTCAGCACTGACTCTTCATGCCCAGCTTTTCACTTACTCAAGAGACAAAAGACTTTGGTATTGTATCCAAGCGTGTACTAATTAGTTATAGGATACTTTTGTCTGGTTGTGTGCTGAAAGTACTGCAGACTCCACATAACATGTAGAGATACTTTTCCACAAAAGCTTTCCTCCAAGGGGGCTGTTAGTGACAACAGACAAGCTGCCAGCTCGCTGTGGGTGGAAATCACCGATGCTATTTCACACCCTTCGGGTGCCATGTACCCACAGTCCCTGGAGTGGCAAATGAAAAGTTCATGTGATTAATGGATATTTTAGCCCAAAACCCACAAGTGGTGGGTTTGTTTTTACAGATAACTTCACAATGCTTAGTCCAAGCCCAGATTACATTGGTAGACACAGTACAGAAAGGGCACACTTCAGAACTGAAGATGCAGAACAAGATGAGCTTGAATGACTGCAGCCCCTCCTCCCATAACATTTTTTCCATGCACTGGGAGAGGCCATATATCGGGACGCTGGTGTAGCATACGTCCAAGGGAATGTTTTGTTTGGGTTGTCCAGGAAGCTGTGCCTGGTTCAAATCTACCAGGTTTTCAGTTGGCTGCTGGGACTTTGAAAATAGGTGTAGGAAGTATCTTGGATGGAGGAACAGGTAGAGTGCATCCTTCCTTTCGAAAGGAACTGTGACAGATATCTCACTGTGTGCAATCCCTTCCTAGAAACAACTCCATCTTTCTCTTAAGGAGAGCACAGTAACCAGGGACAGAAGGATGTTTGGCATAGCCTGGCAGAAAAGAAAGGAGAGATGAGTGTTTGTAATATTTCCAGTAATTTTGTTAACTTCTGGTTTCTCCCACAGTGAAGGAGATAGCTACTCTAAAAGCCAAACTATGCTTTTGAACTGTGTAGTGTGTGAGAGCATGTTTGCTTTCCATTCTAGGCAAAAAATGTATTCCCTATGATAATAGCTTTTTAGAGGTTTTCCTCATTACTTAAGAGAGTATTAGTTCCCTAGTCCTACAATATTTCAGCTTTGGGCAGATAGAATAAGTAGCAGTACTGATGTAAAAGCGAATACCTTTTTGTAAAGGTTGAAGGAAGACTTCAATTTCAGGCTTTCATCTGGGATAAAATGTTGGCCTAAGTCCCAAGAGGTGTCAAGACACTCCTCTCCCTCTTTCCTTCTACACTAGTCACAGACTGTCTGCCTTTTCAAAACACTTCTCTTTTTTGTTAAAATATATACAGTACTTCAGAAATAAATAATGGTCTCTGTCCTAAGGAATGTCATCTAACTAACCCCCTCAAATGTGGCCTTGATACTGGGTACACACAGCTAGAGGGGGAGGAAAGAGAAAGCCGGGATTATAGTTGAGTAGAGTCATACCAGGAATAAACTTGTTCCTCTGTGATTTGCGTTGGGCACTGTGCCTCTGACTTGTACACTGTAAATCTGTTTTATTTATCTTTTTCTTCCCTTCACTTTCCATTTTGTGAGCAGAAGGTCAATGTAAGAGCAAGAATAGAGAGCGTAGGAGTGGGAAGCTAGTGTACTTAGCTTTGGAGGAGGCATTTTGGGAAATGTTGCCAAACTGACATGAATGATGCTATCTGTTCCACAGTACTTGAGAGACTTACAGTGACTTCTTTGTTATTTATCAGGGATAAAGAGGGGTAAGTGTAAGTGAGAGAGGAAACCATTTGTTTAGCCACTTCTGTTACTGTCCAGGACTAAGCAGGGAACATTTTTCTAATAGTGCTGTGATCATTTACAAATGTTCTCATTCCACATTAGAAAATAAATCAAGACCCTACTTTCCCACCACCATGACAATCACAAACCTCCTGAACACACAGTGAGAGATTAATGTATCTAAAAGCTTGGTAACGAAGACACTTAAAATGTAGGAGCTCCAGATTCAGATTATTTCTCTACCTAATTCAAACCAATGTTTACACTAGAGCCTTAAGATAATATTGCCTTATTACAAGGCTGTATGCTAATCAGTTATGTCTTACTATATGTTGGAGCAGAAGTGCTGTCCTGGAGCTAGAAAACCTCCCTTAACAGGCAATCCATCAAAACTGATATACTAGCCTGAAAAGCTTGGGTTTTGGCAAATCAGTATTTATCAAACCAGTTTCACTGAAAAATCTTCAAGCAGTTTCATTGCTGATGGAGATTTAATGAGGCAAAGTGCCTATTGTGCATGTTAATTCTCATTGAACTGTTAAAACAGGCTAAAAGAAATGTCTGTAGGCAAGAGAGAAAAACAAACAGCATTGTCTAGACATAAAAGACATAAAGCAAATACTTTGAAGGGAATGACTGTTTTACAAGAAAACTCTAAGAAGACAAAAAAGAATATCTTGAAAGATTCTGTTCTTTAAGATGAGCACTGGTCAGGTAACCTTTTGTGTCATGCATTGCCTATTTGGAGTCCAAGTAACTTTCTTGGAAATTTGTAATTCCTTCATTTGCTGATTCTTCAGATGTTAGTAGTTAAATGTCAAAAAACTATAAGGAATACAGATAACATCCTGAAATAGTGTTCACCAAAAACCAGTTTTAATAATTTTTCGAGTCTCAGATCTTGTGGTTGGACTCTAGGTTAATACATTCTGCTTATAACTATGGGCTGATTCAACCATCAGTTTTGAGATTCTGGTGACATTCTTTCTAACCCAAACTGAGTATTAAGGAGAACTTTCCTCTTCGGTACCTTACTGCACTGAATAAATTTGGGAGCATCTGAAGGAGGAAAAAAAAACTTAGAGTATTTCTCCACTTTGGGATCCTAGATGGTTTCTGTTCTCCTGGTATCAGAGGTCATGATTATTTGAGATACTTTAGTCTGTCATAGCGTATACATCAATTGCAGTGGCAAAGCTTAGAGAAAATGGAAAAGAAGAGCAGTAACACATGGTTTGCAAAGTGTAGGGAGGAAAGTAATCCTAGGGCTACTTTGTAAAACCTCATTTTTGTTTTTGACACTCTTCAATAACTACTTGAACCTCCACAAGGCTAAACACACTCTCCACCAGTTGTTATTCCTCTGAGTAAGATATAAACAATTACTAGATCTTGATATGCCTGAAAATAACTGACAAAAAGAACCAAAGTAAGGACAAAATTCTCCAAAATATCCTTGTTTATATGTTTAGTAAACAGAGCTTCTAGGACTCCAGTGGTTTTAGATAATTCTTGTTGGATGTTTAAAAGGCTTTATCAGCCTCAGCAGTATAGAAATATATGTCCCCTGTCAACTAAAATCTTCCTGGTTTCCTGCTAGTGAGTTTTACTCTCTGTCGAGTCGGATGTCTTGAGGGATAGATGTGGGCTTTTTCTGGTTTGACACAGGCATGGTGCTCTGGAAGATCTTTAGATCTGCATTAGTGCTTACAATCCCTTCTTGGGATGTTCCTACCTCTCTTTTCACATTCCTGTCCCCCTCAACTTTTAGCCCCTAAACAGAAACGCTGGCACAGTCTCCAGCTGTAAGTGCCTGCTGTGAGGTAGGAGGGATTTGGAAACAGCTGTTGTCTAGGGAGAAGAACGGCTGGTCAGCACTGAAATTTCAGAGAGAGCTTGGGTTGCAGATCACAGATTCAGAGAGCTGCTGGATGCTGTATGAGGTGCAGCACTGACCCCTGTACCCCCTCTTATAAATAGACCTCGGTTGTGTGTGACTTCTGCTCACTCAGGTAGCACTGCATTACAACTTTGCATTTCTAACTTCTGCACTTAGCAAGAACATCCTGGCTTACAGGGAATGTGTTATAAGCACTTTTATTGTGAACACTTGGATTGAGAATACTTCTTTGTCAGCATGCAGACTTTCAGTTCTGTTGAGGGCACCTTTGACTTAAGGCACCAACCTTCCAGAGAGGCCTAAGACAGATACATATTGCTATTGTTTTCTGTGCAATCACTCAGAGAAGCTGTTCAAAAATGTAAGTCATTCACATGTGCATTCAGAGATGTGATAGAAAGTGAAATACTCAGTGTGGTTTGTAATTGTGTTTATATAAGTACAACCTCTTCCTGTGTCAGAACAGATTTTTGCAAACAAGAGGGCAATGATTCAGTTCCAGGGGAAGACTGACAAAATAAACCCTAGCTTCCACTGACCTGATGCAGTGCCGAACAGTGTCCTACCCTGGGAAAATATTTCCTGCTTCATTTTCATAAATATTTATGTAATTCCTTCTGGGAAACATGGCTTCTTCAGAAAACTGAACATGCTGCTCCCTGACATAAATTTAACTATTTGTTTACACATGAGAGATTATGGGCATCTACCCAGCCTTAGATTTTTACATTCTTATCTCAGGCATTTCTGTCTTGTAGAGTTGTTCTTCAGTCTCCTCCTAGAAATCGAATCATGTCTTGAGCCATGGAGCTTAGTTCTGGCTCTGGAATTTGAACATCCCTGATGCTCTTTGGAGAGTTGTTATTTTGGGCTGCAGAAATAAGAACCAAATTTAATGTTCTGTCTGAAATCACAGTTCTGTCCTGCATAGTTATGCCCTTCCCATTCTGGTTTGAGGCTCCTTTCTTTAAAAAATAATCATGTAAGCAATTAAACAGAGGATTACATGGCTAATGAAAATATTTCTATTTAGAAGTAGACCTGTACACATGGCTGTGAACTGAAATAGCTCTTGTGTGCAGTCTTTTGTGTTTGCTTTCTAAATTTATAATACAGACTAGTGGCAAAGTTGTGCACAAGTTTCCCCAAGAGAACAGGTATAATCCCCACTATGACAAACTGAAAAAGGTTGATTTTGCTCTCTTTAACATTTTTTAAGAGAACAGAAAAAACACTGACATTGAAGCACAGACTGACAGAACCTCGTACAAAGCCTTGTATTAGAGCAAAGCTGAGCTTTGCTTTCCAGCATGATCACAACCATTCCATGAAGTGGTGAACGGTGTGGGGTGCTCTGGAAAAACCATGTGGTGGGTAGCAGACATAGTCACAGGA